TTTTATAAATGTTGGGTTTGGTTGATCCAACAAAATTGCCCCCACACTTGTCTACGAAGAGCCCATCAGGTCACATGGTGGCACTAATTGAATCTCAGTACTTTACTATAAACAAAAGTATTTCACATTATCGTATATAATCATTATAATTGTTGGAAGATTACCTTACATTTGAAATAAACATGTCCATAATTAGAGGGGGAAAAGTTTTACGTATAATTTAATATTTTCAGACAAAATTACTTTTTAAGACCAGTAACGTATTGTTGAGTTGATGAATTAAAAAATCCAACTACTTCTAGGTAGCGATACTTTTTTGGTCTAAATAGAAATCGAGAAGCATCCACGAAAAAATAGTTTTTTGGTATAAACTTTTAAGATTATAATCAATTACCATACTGGTCTAATGGTTGATGATTCTTAAGAGTTTTTCCGGACATAGTCTATGACTCTATGGAACAAACAAAACTTAGGACCACGAAAGCAACAATTTTGTTTTCTTCTGGAATTTGACATGACAATATTATTCAATAGGATGATTTTGGTGTGTAACCAAAAAAAAAAAGTTAATTAAAAAGTAAGTAAAATGGAAATGTGGCAAAATCATGACCCTAGGACGTGAGATTTTTAGTTAGATTTTAGATTATAATTTTTTTTTTGTGTTATTTTTGCCAATTTTCCTATTCAATATCATCCGCGTTTAACCATCATTTTGTAGTTTTTCTTTCTTAATAATATCCTCATTGGAGTGAATTGATATTTCTTACTATTTTTGTTGGGATTGTGTTATGAAGATTAGCGATATTACTGATCATAGCTAATACTGATCATGTTTTTTTTTTAAATAATGTTTTAATTTTATTTTGGAACGAAGTGTCGCAATTACAACTTTGTTTTCAACGATTATAATTGTTGGACTGACCATGATATCAATCGTATTTAGTTACTATTGAAGTTTTAAAGTGTAGAGTTGTGTAACAAGAGTTACGAATTGACAAACCATTTCGACAACAATCCACAACATTTTTTTTCAATTGCGGCATGTCAGAATGGTACCTCTCTTTTTTTTTGTCGAAATAGTTTTTCATTAGTTAAGTCGTAATTGGACCGACCCGGACAGGCCCGGTTCGGTTTGCAAAGCTGATTTTGCCAAATTATCGGCATTTTGATTCAGATCTCTTGGAACAAAGATGAAAGAATAAACTTTTAGATCAGATGAGAGATTGATGATATCTTGGATGATCCCATAGATGTCTAGGTGATATCCTTTTGAGTTGATCAGAGTAACCAGTTGTTTGCAATCCGAGACTGCCCTCCCGATCCTGAGACCACGAAGCGACGCCTAGAGCAGACCTTCCCTCATCGCTACGACTTCTGCCATCAGGGGGTTCGAGATTTGAGATCCACTCTTTGCGCCTTGCATAAGGATCGAATTGTTGGAGTTAACTAAAGTGCGATCAAGTTAACTAAAGATTGCGTACCAAGAGGATGATGAACTATTTGGATCCTATTGATACATTTTTTCCAAAAATGTAGATAGTAGCTTTGAGTAAAGAGAATTCAGCATTGATCAAACTGTCAAAGAGTGAGTGATCAAAGCATTCCAATCCACGAAGGGGAAAGGGGTTAGCTCGAGCCGATTTGTTATCGCACGCCAAAAACAGATGGTTTATAGTTTATGAGTAGAGAGTGGAGAGACAATAAGTATTGACAACATTCATTTTCCAATTAACAAATCTATACCAAACAAATTACATGTTAGGATGCAAAAATTATTATGAACTTAATTTTGAATATTCTGATTATTAAAAAAAAATTACATGAAATGTTAAAAATTGATTTTCTAATAACCCATTTAAAACCGACATAGTCCTACTAAAAGACAGTATTTTTAAAGAAAATCCAAAACTTGTCAATTTGTCATAAATGACAAACAAAAAAAAAACAATTTATAGAGAGAGAGTTGATAACTTTGGGCTCATAGTGTATTATTAGAGAGGGAAGGAGAGCATGTGGAGTCCGACCATTTCAACCCTCACGACTTGCTCCGGTCTTCTTTTGATGCCGACATTTTCTTTCTTTTCTATATTTTCGTATAAATTTTCTTAAATATATAGACTAGGTCTAGGTGGGTTCTACAAAAATTAACTCTCATGAAAAAAAAATTGTTTACAAATAAATTTTAAGCTTTTGACCCGTAATCTCTTTCAATCGAGAACCAATA